AAAAAAATTATTTCATTTGGTACCCATACTTTTGTTTTACATTGCACAGAATTTGTTTAAAGAAATTTTGGAATTAACCATATCTTTGCAATTATCACGAGCCCTAACCGCCAAAATAACGTAAGTGACATTTTTTTCAAAATTTTCGTTTTGATGCAGAAATATATCTAGATGCTCTAGGAATATTTCTGCATCAAAAGAAAACTTTGAAAAAAAATGTCGCTTACGTTATTTTGGCGGTTAGGGCTCGATAGTCTTTTAAAAAAAATCGTGACGTCAGAGAAATGCCCATTTATATGCAGTTAACTATGTGTAATATGAGGTAGACTTTTATAAAAAAATTTAAATTTTGGATAAACAAAAGGAATATAGACAAAACTGGTCGAATTAAGGCACTCTTTTATTTCTGCCACCAGTATTATGAACTTCTTTCAACCAGAAAATACATTTTTTTATTTAATTTTTTTTGCATCGAGCTTTTTTCGACATACCTTAAATTACTCTAGCAAATATGTACACTCTAAAGTATTATTAAATGCATATACATTTAATTACTGTCTTTCGTTTTGTAACTTATGAAATAATTTTCACTTTAAATTAAAAGTACGCATCAAACCCATTTACTTATCATTTATTATATGGTAGGAGAGCTTCTCAAACCATATTGATGCAATTTTTTCATCTTAAGTCGTTAAAAAATAATAAATATCTAAATCCCGGGATTGAACCGACGGCATCCCGGAAATCCCGGGATAGTGACAATCGAAAAAATTAACATCCCTAATATGTATGTATGTAGTACTCGTAGTTGGTATGATTGCCGTACTGAGCGCCATACCTACATAAGAGCGTTGAGCTTGCACTTGACAGCTTGTTTTTTTTCTAACCGGTATGTGTTGTTGGCTGCTGTAGCCAAGGAGTGATCGTGTGCTCGTTCTCTGACCATGCCTGGCTCACCCAGCACGGCAACCGTGTATTTAAAATTGCATTTGGGGAAAAAAATAGTTGATGACGTCATTTTCTAATCGGTTCTTTCATTCACACACAGGTTTCACGTCACTGCAAAAAAATAACTTTTTTCTCGCACGCCGTCCTGGGGGATCTTTATTCGTTCGTTCATGCTGGCTATATACATTAAAAAAAAATTTTCTTTTTTAACGAAAGTGTATAGTTCATATTTTATAACACAAAAACATTGTTCGTTAAGATTAAGTGTTTTGGCTAAAATTCATCTTTGAGTGCACAATGGTAAAATGGAGTTCTTTTCAGTGTCCCACCAGTCACATTCATTCAAATGACAGTCAGGGCTACCGTTTTGGTAGAATTCTACCAAAATTGGTAATTGTTACCTTCACAAATTTGAGTTTGTAACTTTTTGTAAGTTTTTAACTTCTGCTGAACATTTTCAAATATCTTCAGAAATGAAATTACATTTGCTATTATTTGCCGTTATCAGGGTCCCTTTTTTACTCTTCAATTAAAATTGGAATTGTTGTGAATGAGAATTTCAATTAAGTTATAGCTACTAGATGGTAAGGTTGACACTACATAAACATTTGTTTCTAATCATAAACATATGAATGTAAAAACATGTGCCTCAAATGTATTAAATACATGTTAATGAAATGATCTCAATTCTAGGTATTTTGTTTCTTTTTTATTGTTATCACTATTTTTTTTCATTTGTATTAAAATGATTAAAAATTAAGCTTTCTTATGTTTTTAAATTTTGGCTTTGGTAACTTTGGGAAAATTTTGGTAACTTTTGGTAACTCTTTTTAGTGTACTGTAAAAATCTTGGTAAGGAAAAAAATTCTAAAGCGGCAGCCCTGATGACAGTTACATAAAACGAAGAAATCTTTTGGTATTTATGTTAAAGCAATTTTATTCATTAGTTATCGTTCTATGTTAAAAAAATCTTTCGCTGTAGTGTAAGTTCCGACGACATAGCTATAATTCACAATTGATCACATTCTGGAGTAAAATATCCCACGAGTCATAATAGAATGGCCCTAATACAAAAATTATATGAATTATTAAAATACGAAGGAGTGTAAATCTTTAGTTTGAACATTTGGAATGTTTGAAGAAGGTTGCCACGTGTTCAAAAAGTTATAGCATTATTCATAAAAAATAAAGTAGCTTTAAAAAAGGTTCATAAATTGAAAAATAACATAAATTGAAATAACGTAAACGGCAATAACGCAAATTTGAGTTATTTCCCAATTGGATGTGAAATAACACAAATATGCTTTATTTCATTTCTCGTTGAGCAATAAGACCAACTTTTATACTTAACAATTTGAGTAATAAAGCCAAATAGTGCACATATGTATGTAGTCACCCAGTTACATTTGACAAAAAGTAGTACATGAACAAGTTAAATGGATGGATTTGTAAGTATACAATTTTGAAAGTGCCCGGCGTCGCGGGCCGCCCCGCGCCGCGCTCGCGTCCCCCGCCCTTCCCCACCTTTCGCAATTATATACTGGTAGCATTATAACCGTTTAGAAAAAGGAAAAATGATAGAATAACACTAGTTCACTTCTGAAACTGCTTTTTAATGTCCAAATAATGGGAATTATTGTGTGTGGTGTTATTGCATGCATCCCACCCATAGTGGAATTTACCAGTCGCCACTGTTTTATTTGAAAATTTGCCTATAAAATGTGACTATAAGGCAGCCGAATGTCGGAAAATAAAGCGAGAAAGCCGTTTTATTACTTCATCTGTTTATTGCGACATGGTTCCATGCAAACATTTTACGGTTTTCCAGCAATGTTTTTAACACATTAAAAAGCATGCAGAAAAAATTCATACAAAAGCGCTATGTCCAATATGCGGAGCAGTTTTTAATGACGATGCTTTTCCTATATTTTGTTAGACTTTTCATTAATAAAAATATTTTGTGAATATTACTTTCTTCATATGAATTATATCACATTTTTTGTTTAATGCAAGGCCTATCAAACAGGTTTGGAGCATTTGAGCAAAAACAACATTTGCCTGCATGATACAATAATTTTTAGAAGGTAGTTTCACTTCTTCTTCTTATCCGCCATGTTGGCTATCTGACAGAAAACGTGTTTCGTATTTTTTGTTGTTCCAACTTTTAAAAAAAAAAATCCAGCATTTGACGTTGGAAAAATAAAACAAAGAAAAGCCAAACATATAAGTAGAGAAATTTTCGAATATTTTGTAATAATTTTCTTCATAAAAAATTAACTGCTGCTTTCGTGGATATTGCAACACACGGAATAGATGTAAGGGCACTGCTATAAGAGCCACCGCACACCACAGACTTTATCGGCCGCCTATTTAAATGATAGGGCTCGCTTGAAATATGTACATGAAGATGTATGGAGGTGAGCACACTACACCAGCTTAATCGCTCTGACCAATAAGTTGTGGTACAATGGAAAGACTTGCGAGCACATCTAAATTGGCGGCCGATAAAGTCTGTGGTGTGCGATGGATCTAATCCATTATAAACAAGAAATATTGCTGCTACATATATTTTCATTTTTATGATTTTTATTCATGTGATTAGCAGTGGCAAAAATGTATGTATAAACTACGTATATTTATATTAAAAATTAAGTGATCAGTTATGAAACATATAAATCTTTACATGTTCTGTTAAAAAATATCTAAAATAACAAGCGATAATCCCCAAGTTCTATATCGTAGCAGTTGCCACATTGCGTGTTTGTCACAGACACGGTTTATGTCAAAAATTTGAAAAGTGAAAGTACCTTCTAAAAATTATTGTATCATGATTTGCCTGTATTTTGTTGTTGCTTCTGGTACATCAAAGCGTGCCATGCGAAATACGAAAAAGGTAAAAAATTTAAATTGAATAAAATGAAAATTGTTGCAACTTTCTTTCTTAGTAAATTGGTTCGCTTCTCGAAGCATTAATGCATCCTGTGCCAGGCCCAGTAATCAGCGGCTGTGCTGCTGAGTTGGGCGAGCTTTCCAAAAGCTGCTATTTAATCGCTGGTTTTGTATGGAAAATGTTTCACATGCAAATAGATTTTAACAATTTAGAATTTTTGTGAGAATAAATGTAAAATATTTGACATTTTCGAGAACAAATAATTTAAAAAAATCAAATTAGCTGCTATACTGATATTACCTGTTGAATGCACCCTGGTTTAATTGTATTTTTGGAATAAACGAAGTTCTTTTTCTTTCTGTCAGTAAACTTTTTTTTACAAATAGTATAAATAAGCAATGGGAAATAAGGCATAATTGGTTTTATTACCAAACTTTGTTGGAAATAAAGCAAAACTCAGATTTTGGTATTATTTCCCACTTAAAAGTGAAATAAAGCAAATTTTGCGTTATTGCCGTTTGTGTTATTTCATCCCCCCATATCAGTACAGAGTGATTTGAAATTTGATGAAGTTAAAAATACCTCTCTTCACTCAGAAATGGCTGAACGGATTTAAATGAAATATGGCACTCGGATCGCTTATAACTGACAAAAATTTCGATTATTGTTTAGGTTTTTAAAATAAAATTTTGGGCGGTTTAACGTCGTGCGGGATCACTAGTGTATTATTAAAACGCTTGAGTGTACAAAGTTTTATCGGTAGAACTTTTCTATGTATGTGCATTTTATAGCGGTGTGCTATATGGGAGGTGGGCCTGGCAGTGGACCAACTTTAAACATTTTTAGGTATGTTAAAGATATCCTCAAGTCTTGCACAAATATTAAATTTTGTTGCAATGCTACTAAATTTAGTATACGAAACAGATGTCTCAGTTTCCAGTTCTACAAGTATGCGAGATGTTCTTCATACAATTTTGCTCAAATTTTTAATTGTTCTGCATATGTACCTTTGTACAAACCTTCAGTGGAAAATTTCATTGATCTTGGGACGTTACACTGTGAGACGTTGACAGCGAATGAAAACCTATTCACGAGCGAATAGGAAAGCCAAAAATGCCATAATGTATATGTAAGTATACATCTACATATGTTTTTTACTCACCCCGTTTTGATAGGATCTTCGCCACTGTGCCGTTTTGTGTGAATCGTTCCCTTCTCTACAATTAAATCTTGAATACGTGAGTCATTAATGCCTCCAACTGCTTGACCTGCGAATGTGTAGATATATAAAAAGGAACAATCTTTAGTGCTTGTAAAAATCGGATAAAGAAAGAATTTTAATAGACTTAATGTCCCTATAGGTGACAATACAAAGTTTGCCTCATTAGCAAAAACTCGGATGACAGGTCGAATTTAAGAGTTGAATCGGTAATTACACTGGTTTACAGCAAAAGCATTCCATGGATGCGACTATCCAAATCCTTTTAGAATTGCTCGCTGATTACCAAAATCGAGTTAACGTTTTTTTCTATGGATAAGTTTTCGAGATATTTGCAATTTACCGCTATTCAGCTAAAAAAAGGGTACGTATATCTTACGAAACAATTGATCGACGTTAATAAGAATATGGCAAATGAAATCTAACAAAATTCTCCATAAACCGTACATACATTTCTTTTCGATGGGGTTGAAAAAATTAAATAAATTTGAAACTTTAATAGGGGAAAAATAAAAATGGCGAATTTTTTATCAGTTTTTCATACAGAAGTCTGGTTCTTTACAAAAAAAAATTAAGCTACCAATGAAGAAAATCGATGGGTAAATTAGGAAGGAATGAGAGATCAAAGGAAATGGACAAAGATGTTTTGTATTAAAATGAGCATGGGGACATGGCGTATGAGCAACTCAATCCTTTTTAATTTATCCATCGATTTTCTTGTCAAAAAATTCGTTATTTTTTCATTTTTCGCCTGCTAAAGTTTGAATTATTATTATCTTTTTTCATCAAAAACACAAAAAATTTGGAATGATAATCAAAAGCTATCAGATTCCTCGAAAAGTCATGCATATTAGGGCGGGCCGAAAATTCAATGTTTCTTAAATCCTTTGGAAATAGTGAAATTATATTGTATGATGAGGTCAACGACAAGCCTGTAAAATATTAATCGTTTATTTTAATTACTAGAGCCCCCGCATCGACCCCCAAGTGACACAAAGTACACTGGTCGAATAAGACGGAATCTTGTTGAAGATTCAGGGTTCAGCAAAAAGTTTTGGTGGATCTTATTAGATAATGAATCTGCAAAGGCAAACGACAAATTCAAATATCATCTCTGGCAATCCTTTAATTTAAGGTTACTCTCAAACTTCTTTTTGGTTGTTTGTGTTTCCGACAGGGTAGGAGTATGATGTATTGTGGAACGATCTCGAGAACGAAAAATGACACTGAAGATGGCACAACGCCGAAACCGGTTTGTCTCCAAACCAAATTTGACAAGGGATTACGGAAAATCGTTCCACAATACATCGTTACTCTCAAACTTATCTGTTTTTCAACCAAATTGAAATTGTTGTGTTGATAATTGCACTGGTCTTTAGTCATATTTCTGGGGTGTATTTAGGTCGCTGGTTCCGGTGGTTTGCGAATTTTTGCAAATTTGGGAACAATTTGGGGAGCTATAATAAGAAAACCTTTATTTTCTATCACCGTGAAAAAATTTCATTTATGCAAATGAATATGGAAACACTGAACTAGCACAAATTGGACAAACAATAGTTAGTTTACTTATTATTATACATACCATACAAAAATTGCAATTAAAAGAAGTTCACAAGGCTTTTTGTTTAGCATTTTTATTCTTTTTGAATAATTTGTTTTAATCTGAGTGATTTTTAACATATTATTATCATGAATCAGTACAAGTCTCGGCTTCAGTTTGGTAGTTATTACGTACCGATCGAGTAATATTTGTGAAGGTTATGTCGAAGATAGGGATGCATCTCTGTCTTTTATCGACAAAAAATTCTCTTAAATTGTATACATAAATAACTTCAAAATATAAGCAAACGATTACGGAAAGGATAGTGCATTCACCTACGGTCTCTTTGACATAATGGAATTAACTAACATATCTACGTATATCTTAATACTTATTGCACGCCCCTACTTTCGTATAACGGTAAATTTAGAAACCGCGAAAAGTGTGCTTCTTTGGTGACTCATGAAACTATTCCGCTCCAATTTTCAATAACACATAAATGGGCTTAAAATGGGCGTTGCTCACCTACATATTATTTAGTTAACATATGTAGTAATCAAATGATTCCTAATATTGCACATCCGTAATTAATTTCACTATGTTGAAAACTGACCAAATTGGCGTGACCAAGTCCATGGTCCTTTAAATATTATATAATCATCCGAAAACCTAAAAATCTTTGAAATAAATCTCGTCTAATTTTTTCATTTTCACTTGACTAAAGTAATGAAGAACTGAAAAGTCATACGGGAAAGTCATTGCTTTTATAAATTTTTCTAAATATCTCGAAAACTTGTAGTCTTATTGAAAAATGATGTATAAACGTGAGATACTAAATTTAATGACGTTTCACTTGATATATCGTCTAGTGTATAACAATTAACGCATTTCCTAGATATTACCAACCAAAGTTTAATTTTCCAAATTCATAAACTTTGAATCAATTGCGTGGGCTAAAGATATTATTTAAATTAATCCTTCGTGGCCAATTATTATTGGTTTAGACCTAAGACAACATAATATTACTATTACAGTGCGATCAAATGCCTTTTATTTTACCACATACAAAATTGACGCAGCCTAATGTATATACCGTTTATGGAGAATTTTGTTAGCTTTCTGGCTGTTCAATTGATTAAGGGCCAGTTTTTCAGAGAGAGTTTAGCTCTGTTTGTCGTTTAAACTAAGTTTAAACTCAGTGCGCAGTTTTTCGGTAAAATTTAACGTAGTTTAAACTAAGTTTAAACGTCCTATCAGGCAGGGTTAAACCGAGTTTAAACCATCAACCGTTGACTTGTATATTTGTAGTCTGCTGCCCAAATTTAATTCAGCACAATCAGTTGCCAGCGAATATCCCACCGATAAAACAAAATGAAGCTTCACCGAAACGTAAGTGAGAAGAGCAGGAGCATTAATACCCATTATTATTACGTTAATCTATATACGTGACCAATTCCATCTCAAATCATGCAAGACGACTGCACCTATCTCCCCGAATCACTTCATATTTTAATATCGACTAACCTAATATTCACGCACGCTTTGCTGTCAAAAATTTCTCATGCACGTACAACTTGCATGGAACCAACCGAAATTGAACGGCGAGCGTATGAAGCTAATAAAGCGTTCAAGTGTTCATATTGGGGTATTTAAGAAACTCACAGTTTAATTTGACATTTTTTGTTTACTTTTTCTTATTCTCATTAAGGGCCGTTTTCACTATCTCTGGTTAACACGAATCTCCAGTTAAACATTGTTACCAACATTACCGACACAATGTTATATGCATGGAGACAGTAACGTCCGTAAATATGTTTAACCTTGGGTTACTTTTAACCAGAGATGGGGAAAACGACCCTTAGTCTGTTCCCGTACAACAGGATTTAACACACACACATATATTAGTCTAGAATACCAACCGTTTAGCTATAAAAAACAAGAAACGAAGATCGATTGAACTTTTTACGCTGATTTCAACCATACCAAAATTATTTGGTACAAATAAAAACCAAAGCCAATAAAAGAGGTTAAAGTTCAACTTTTCTATTTCTTATGTGTTTAATATCTACTTAACCGATTAAAAAATTATTGATGCTAATTTCCACATAATTTAAATATTTTTATGCGATGTATATGCTATAACTAGTTTTGAAACGAATTTTGCATAAAAGCCATTTAAAAAAATATATTTATATTTTTTTGTGTTTTTTAGTATTTCCGGACTAAAAATGTAAAAAGAATATAAGTTATACACGCACATGAAAGACAAATTTATTACCAGGGAACGGATTTTATGGAAATTGCCTTTTTTTCTGCTAAAAAGATATAGTATATTCGATTAAGAATGTCCACGATTTAGCTTTCCCTGATTCCATATATACACATTTGATGTTGCCTTTTTTAAGATATTTGCCTTTTTTTAAGATATTTGCCTTTTTTTTTGCCTTTTCTACCTTTAAAAAAG